CATTGTTCCCGGGAGCTTTGCTCAGTAGCACATCCAAGGGCTGGGCATTCCTTGTCTGTTGTTCGGCCACAAACGGAGAAGTTTCCAGTATTGACACAGAACCCGTATTCATAATTCCACACCCAGCTACCATACAAGGCTATGGATAGCATATCCAGAACCAGTAGAAGGAAAGCTTTCGTTCGACACCTTACATGGCCCCCTTTGTATCAATTTTTGGGGCAACTCCCCCCCCCCATGGGTGTAGCAGTGATCTGGCTGCTCCCTTAAACTCCAGTAACATGACACTGGCTCAGTCCGGTCTCGGGGCGGAATGGGGACACGATGAAGCGGGGGATGGGACACTCTCCATTCACTGTATGTTGCCGGTGAGTTCTGTCCTGTACTAACCCTATGTGTGCGTGCCTCAGTTTCCCTGGGCACTGCACCAATAGCGAGGTGTTGGTGGGAATTTTGATGCAGCAGCCTCGCCCCCATACACAGCGGCTGACGCTGAACCCGAGAAGGGGGTGTAACCAGGTGACACCTTTTTCCGGGGGAGCCGGACAGGGGCCGGAGGCGGGGCTGGCTGCAGGGGGAACTGGGCTGTGGGGTGTGAGTGAGTCTTCAGTTTCCCTGGGCACTGCACCAATAGCGAGGTGTTGGTGGGAATTTTGATGCAGCAGCCTCGCCCCCATACACAGCGGCTGACGCTGAACCCGAGAAGGGGGTGTAACCAGGTGACACCTTTTTCCGGGGGAGCCGGACAGGGGCCGGAGGCGGGGCTGGCTGCAGGGGGAACTGGGCTGTGGGGTGTGAGTGAGTCTCGCTGGCTAGGGGGGCAAGACCCTGGCTCTGGGCCCCCCTCTCCCCGAGATGGGCCGTCCTGGCCGCTCCTGGTCCCTGTGCCGACGCTGTGCTACGCTGTGTGCTATGTTGTGTCCTGGGGAACCAAGAACCCTTCGGTTCTCCCTGCCGGCTGGGAGTCACCCTGGTGGCTGGGGGGCAGGGCCCGGGGCCCCCCACCCCTGGGTGAAAAGGAGCCCCCCTCAGCCCCCTCTCCCTGCTCCTGAGGCAACGTGCGTGCAAAGCCGCAGAGCTTCCTCTTTCTGGCCGTATAAAACCCTCGCCAGTGCTGCCTGCAGGCGCAAGCACCCTCGGGCTGCAGCCCCG